TTATTATCTAACCTGTGGTCTACGTAGTAATGTACCTAGGATTCAGATGTTAGGTCCAGGGGACATAGCTGGAAAAAGGCAGTTTTTGTCAACCAAATAAGGTAATTATGCCAGAATTCCAGGGTGACAAGTTTGTGGGTGTAAAAGGCTTAGTAAGTCTCTACTCGGGGCCTTCCACAACCTATCAGGACCTCTCCCTGGTCAGGCAGACCACCATTGCCACCAACTTTAGTGCATCTTTGGGAGGGACTGGGGAAACTTGGGAAACCATTCTCACCAAACATTCCCCAGCCTGATATTTCCTGGAATGCTTTGCTGGGGGTGTTCCCTTTGCATTTATCACAGTACAGGAAATTCTCTGATTCATATGTCAGAGAGCTAATTTTTTTCAAGGCTCCAATGCAGTCCTATTTGGGCCTATGACACTGGTCCAGTGCAAAGACTTGTGTGAAAATGTATAATCCTGTTCTGTATTCAATTATATACTGTCTTTGGGCATGTACTTTGCATGAAGGAGTTTTTTCTCCCCAATATTCAACTATATATATATATATTTTTAATTTGACTGAGGTCATAATAGTTTATAACATTGTGAAATTTCAGTTGTACATTATTATTTGTCAGTCACCATATAAATGTGCCCCTTCACCCTTTGTGCCCACCCCCCAACTTCCTTCCCCTCTGGTAACCACTAAACTGTTCTCTTTGTCCATGTGTTAGTTTATCTTCATGAAAGAGTTTTTTAAGATGTTTAGATTTCATAGATAGTTGCTATTTCCTAATAGTAACAATCCCTTAAAAAAACTTCAACTCTGATTCATTGTCATAATAGTTCTCCTCACTGGTAGAAATCTGTTTTCTGAAAGGTATAACTATTTGTGAGATTTTTTTTTTTTTTTTTGGTGAGGAAGATGGGCCCTAAGCTAACATCTGCCAGTCTTCCTCTTTTTCGCTGAGGAAGACTGGCCCTGGGCTAACATCCATGCCCATCTTCCTCTACTTTATATGGGACGCCGCCCCAGCATGGCTTAACAAGCTGTGCACCATGCGCGCTGGGGATCCGAACCAAGGAACCCTGGGCCGCCGCAGCGGAGCACGCGCACTTAACCACTTGCGCCACCGGGCTGGCCCCATGAGATTTCTTTCTTAAACCAGAAGAAGGATTTTTTTAACTGCCCTTTCCTTTAAGACATAACAGTCTTGTAAACCCCTTGACTTTGGATTCCTTATATGAACAGAGATGACAATATACCATTTATTTTAACACTAGATTATGCTTATTTGCTGATGGAAATGATCCAGAAGAGAAGAAGTTGATGATGCAAGAGAGAGGGTTAATTTCAAGCAAGGGACTTGAACAGGCAATGAGAAAAGTGGGAGGCTCAATGGCTGGAGGCCTATGGTGGTTTATAACACAGCCCCCAAATTCTTTGATACTCCTCCCACTGAGAGGTGGGGTCTCTGACCTCTCTCTGGAATCTGGAAGGGTTTGTGATTGCTTTGACCAATAGGTAGGCATATGACTTCCAAAGCTAGATCAGAAAAGGCCTTGCAGCTTCCACCTGTCCTTCCTAGGACACTCACTGTGGGGGAAGCCGGCCATCATGTAAGAAGTCCCACTACCCTGAGACCACCATGCTGGAGAGGCCAGGTGTAGGTGCTGGTTGACAGCCCCATCTGAGCTCATATCAACAGTCGGTGTCAACTGCCTGCCTTGTGACTGAGCCATCTTGGACATCCAGCCCAGCTGACCTCTGGCTGTAACCAAACCGCATGAGAAACCTCAGACAAGAACTTCCCATTGGAGTCCTTCCCGAATTTATGACCCCCAAACTGTAAGCAGGGTAAAATGGCAGTTTTAATTCATTAAACTTGGTGGTAATTTGCCACACAGCAGTAGTAGTAACTGGAATAAGTTTCTTATGGAGTCAAAGAATTGTGGATGTCATGGTAATACAGTAAGAAAGCAAGAAAAATAGGAGGCAATGGTCAGAAAAGCAGCTGCTTAAAATCAAGATTCAGGAGGTGGTGAAGTTATTGATTGTGATAGCATTCCCAACAAGTTATGGCTCTTAAGCTTTTCATCTTCATTATATATTTCTGTTCACAGTTTTAGCCATTGCCATTTTAATTTTGTTTGTGATTTCTATGCTATATGAGTAGAATAAAAGACAGATAGTTCGCATTTATTTTCTAATCTGTGAGAAAATTGTCAGAAAATGTCCTCTGACTTTTTAGGAGTAATCTGTGGTAAGGATTGCTGAACTGTGTTGCTATTCCAATTTTCCCATATAAGTCCAGTCAATTTTGTGTTTTGTACTAACTGTCTGTACCATTAGTGGACCACAGAGCAAATCAAAGTATTAAAATGGTAGAGTCAAAACATCTTGATTTGTCATTTAAGGGAAGGGAGAGGAGTCTGGAAGAACACTAACAGTGGGTGGCCAGGAAGGCAGGAGGAAAACCAGTAGTGCGTGGGGCCCACAAGCTGAGGGGAGACAGAACTTCAAGGAGGGATTGGTCAGTGCCCAGTGGATCTCAGTTCTTTCATCCATACAAGGATGCTACGAGGATCACATGATGTAACACATATAAATTTGATGAAATGTGCAAGATGTAAGGAGCATAAACCCCTTCAAGAGAGGGATTTTGTCTTTTCATCAATGTATCCCTGAGCCGGAAAGAGCAGAGTCCTGAGGGTTGGGAGGAGATGGACCCCAGTGTGAGGAGCAGGGAGAAGAGGAACATTGAATGTTCATAAATAAGAGCGAGGGCCTGTGCCTGGCGCTTTACATGTGTATCTCATGTGATCCTCATAGCACCAGTGTACAGATGAAGAAACTGAGGTCCATAGGACTGAGTAACTTGCCCACCTTCAGAAAATTGTTGGCAAGATAAAGATTGGTACCACGATCTCTCAGACCCTAAGACTGGTGACCTTCCATCTGTGCTCTGGGGATAGATGGAAGTCTTCACAGATGAAATAGGAGGAGGAAGCGCCCACTTCGTGACCTTTATACTCCTGGAATGTGAGAGTGAATCATCTGATAAGAGGGAGGGAAGGAAGGGGAGAAGCTTGAGGATTGTGGGAGTGATGATCTGAGATGAGATTTAGGAGTATAAGGCTTCAGGTTGGTGCAATTCCAGGTGGAGGTAAATCCAGAGGCTCTTAATGGGAGAGGTCACTAGAGTTGAGAAAGTCAAATACTGTTGACTGGTCAGAAGTCGAGGAGCTGACTGACCAAGGTGTTGGATGCATCATTTATGTGGATGTCCAAATTAACTTGTTCAATGACAAGATTGAACAGGATTGAAAGGAAACCTGGGTAGTTAGGATCAAAACTCCTCATGAATTCTGGGAAGAGATCTGGAGTTTTATGGCAAAAGTCAGGAAGTGGTTAATATGTCCAGACTCCTTGAACCTCAGAAATAGGGAATGTTCTTAATGCTCCTAAAATTGAAAAGACAGTATGATGACAAGGACTTAATAGCCCAGACCTGGTAGAGCCCATAAGCCCTCTCATTCATTCCTTCATTCATTCACATATTTACTGGGCATCTACTGTGTGCCAGGCGCTGTGCTTGGAGCTTGGAGCTTCAAAGAGAGATAAGATAGTGTCTCCACTCTCCTGCAGCTCTCCATCATTAGGGAGGGAAACATAAACTAGTAAATGCCATTCTTAGGAAAACACTGTAATTGAGATAAAATATAAATTGTGGTTGGGGCACAAAAGAGGGCAAGATCTGCCCCTGGACATAGGCCTTCTCTCTGGGCTGGAATGATCGCCACCCAAAGAATGATGTCGCCCTTCCCAATGTGCATGCACTCCTTCTGCCCTGCGGTTTCCAGGCATTAATCACTCAGGTGCCTCATCCTTCCCTCAGAAATAATTTTCCACAGAAATAATTTTGACAAATATCAGGGCACATAATTTCCATCAAGGGAAAAAAAGGATAATTTCACTGCACTCTTGTTGAAACTCCAGCCTCTTTCTTTAGCCAAATCTTCTCCACAAAGTCTTCCTAACCTGCCCCTCCAAACTGTCTTTACCAACCGTACTCACAACCCTGATCTGCCCTTCCCCCGCTCTAGTGCCAGCTGATACTGACCTAATATGACTCCTCGAGGTTGATTTCAACCCTCGCTCTCTCACGTGGCTCCACATCAAGAACGTGCCAGTGCTCTGAACAGTGCTAGTCACATAGTTGGTGCTCAAGAAACAGTTTTTCCAATTGAGTGAACATAGCCTCAGGATTATAACTTCACCCAATTCCCATCAATACCTCTGTCCAGCCTGCGTGGTCTGTACTGTGTACTGAAAGTCCAGTTTTAGCCCCAATCAGCATCCTCTGTATGGTCAACTCGGAATCCAGCCTGGATCAGCATGCCTTGGGCGGATGTCTCTGTCCAGCACCGATCAGCACCCTGTGAGGGAACAGCTCTTCCAGCTTTGATCAGCACCCGTCAGGGAACAGCTCCTCCAGCCCCAGTCAGCACGTTTTAGGGAGAAATCTCCGTCGGCCCAATCAGCACCCAGTATGGGACAGCTCCGACCAGCCCTGATCAGCACCTAAAGGCGGACAGCTCTTCCAGCCCCTTTCGACGCGCCCCAGGCTCGGCCTGAATCATCTCTGACCCAGGCTTGAGACCCCAGCTCTTCCGTTCTGATTCCTTGGGACGTCAGCGCAGCTCCTGGGCCCGCACCCACCCCTCCATGAGCTCCTACCCCCAAAAAACCAGTTAACCAGAGGTCTGCGGACCCAGACCGCTGCCTTCCTCCGGTTTCCCCACCGCAGATTCCTCATTTAAGGCTCTCAAGCTCATGTCTCCCCATCCGCAGATCCTCCTGTACACGAACCTGATCCACCCGAAAGAGACCAAACCACACACCCGGTGCTTCCCCAACCAGAGCCTGTCAGTCAAACCACTTTCTCTCCTCCAACCAGCGTCCCCTGCCCTGCCCTGTCCCCTCCCCCCTTTCCCGGCCCCTCCCTCCTGCCCCATCTCCTCCCTCCTGTCCCTCCCCCTCCCTCCTGTCCCTGCGGCGTTGCCGCTCGCGCTGCGCGGAGTCTGCGGGGCGTTGAGGTACCGGCGGGCGGGTGTCGCAGGGCGTGTCACGAGGTGCGTCGGGAGGCGAGGACGAGGGAGGAGCCGTCGCTCGGCCCCCCCGCGGTCGGCAGGGCTCCCCGAGAAGATGGCGGACCGCGCGGACATGTTCTCTCTCTCCACCTTCCACTCGCTGTCGCCGCCAGGCTGCAGGTACGCACTTCCGCGCCCCTGGCCTTGGCAGGCTCTTTCCTTCCTGCAGCCCCCTCTCTGACCCCATCCCCAGACCTCTCCGATCTGCCCTGCCACCCCACCCCCATTGCCTTTGGGGACCCAAGCCCCAGGCCCGTCTCCGGTCCTGAGGCCTCTGACTCCTTGCTCCCCATCCCCCAGCCTCCATTCGGGGTCTCTCCAGTCTTGTCCTCCCCTTGTCCCGCTCCATTTCCCGCTGGCATCCACTGCCGCACCCAGCCTGGGCAACTGACCCTTCCAAGGGTGGAGGTCCTGGGCCAGAGCCTCTGAGGAGCAGCCTGCCTGGCAGGACGCAGAGCACACCCCGGGTGCTTAGCAGTGTCCTTTTGGTCTCCTCTCCGTGGAGGCCTGGCCTGGCCTGTAGGGCTCAGAGAGGGAGAGAGCTGAAAGCAAGCCTGGAGCCCTGGGGGAAGGGCCTGGGGTGGGGAGAAGGCTGGACCTCTAGGTGTAGGCCTGCCTTGGGCAGGAGGGGGGAGACAAAGTGGCCAGACTCTGCTCCCAGAACTCTCCTCCCTCTCCTGCTGCTGCAGCTTCTGTGCACCCCTCCCCCCTGCTCTGCTCAGCCAGACTCCCCGGAGGCTGAGGCTGTGACCCAGAGGGGCTTGGAGCTGAGTGTGGAGGGAGGAGAGGCTGCTGGCTCTGTGAGGGAGGAAGACTGGGAGGAGGGTTGGGGGGACCCTTCTGGGCTGGTCATGGCTCAGATTGTTGGGGGGATCTGCTTGAGAGCAGAGCTTGGGGTTCAAGATGACGGCAGGATGCTGGTCTGGGAGTTGGTGGCTCTGGAGGCTTAGGAGCTAGGGGTCTCCCTTGGCCCCTCCTTAGGATGAGCTCCCTGGTGGGGAGTTCAGAGTTGGTAGCTTTCTCAGGAGCCCCCTTGCTCTCTGACCCTGGTCTCCTCCAGGCCTCCCCAGGACATAAGCCTGGAAGAATTTGACGATGAAGACCTCTCTGAGATCACCGATGACTGTGGTCTGGGCCTCAGCTATGACTCGGATCACTGTGAGAAGGTGGGGCAGGGGCCTGGGGCATAGAACCTTCTCAAGAGAGAGCCTTGTTTTGGCTCTGGTTAGCCGCTCTGCTTAGCATTCATTTGGGGTTTTAGGGTGGGTCTGAGCTCAGCTTTGAAACAAGAGATCCTCTAATTGCCCCCTCCCCCTTGGCCTCTTGGTCTGGGGTCTTCCTTGATATCAAACCTCTCTTTTTCTAACAGACTGTAGGCCCTCCACTGAGGGCCTTCCCCAGCAGTCCTCGCCTGACCCCCATCACCTGGCATGCTGGGGGGGTGGGGATGGATGGACGGGCTGTGCCTCTGCTTTGGGTGCCCTTTGTCCTCAGATCACTTCCCAGAAAGATCTAACCCTTCCAGCTGCCATCTCACCTTGTCTCCTCCCCAGCCCTGTCCACACCTCTCAAGCCTCCATCCATCTGCCTCATGTCTCCACCCCTGAAATCTTTTCTCCCCCACCTCCTGCTGCTTCTCCTTCTCCCTGCCTCTCCATGTTTCTCTTTTCATTCATTTGAGAATATTTCTAAGCGACTGCCATGTGGCAAGTGCTGGGGGCTTCCAGGTGCTTGGGAGGAGAACAGGACAGGTGTGACCCTTGCCTTCGGGAGCTTATAACCTAGTAGGGGAGGAAGACATGTAAGAGGGAATGGCTGCCTGAGTGTCAGGGACTGGGTTCCAATGGGAAGACACAAAGAACCCCACCAAGACTGAGGCCTTCAGGGAGACTTTCCCGTGGAAATGGCACACATCCATACCCTTTAGGGAAGACCAGTTGGAGCTGGGCAGATAAGGGAGGTAGGAGAGAATGGAGGAGAGGAATTGCCGGCAAAGGGATTAACTGTGTCAAAGGCCCTGAGGTTGATGCAAGCTTGTTGCATCCTGGGTGCCGGCTGTCTCTTCCTTCATACGTTCATTCAGTATTTACTGAGCATCCATGTGGCTGGGTCCTGTTCTCAGGGGTAGGGTACACCAGTACACAATGTGGACATGGCCCTGCGCTGGTGGGGCTTGCAGCTTGGTGAGGGAGACAGACCAAAGACTGCAATAATTGTGAATTGCATTAAAATGCTGTGAAGGAAAGAGTGCTGGTATCAAATGTGACAGGATTTGGGGGTGAGATGAGGCTGGCAGGTGGGTTGGGGCCACTCTGAGAATCTCTATCACCAAGGTTAGGAGTTTGGGCTCTTACCAAGAACTGGGGTGATCCTTATGCATCTTAAGCAGATTAAAAAAAAAAACAAAAAAAACTGCTCTGTGGGTGGGGAGCAGAGTGAACTGAGGCTTCTCTCCCTTGACTTATCACTTCCTGTTTTCCCCTTTTCTGCCACCTGGGACCCCCAGTCATTGCTGCACTCTGGCCCAGCTCTGCCCTGTCCCTCCTTCCTGCAGGACAGCCTCTCTCTGGGGCGTTCGGAGCAGCCGCACCCCATCTGCTCCTTCCAGGATGACTTCCAGGAGTTTGAGATGATCGATGACAATGAAGAGGAGGAGGAGGAGGAGGAGGAGGAGGAGGAAGAAGAGGAGGAAGGAGAAGGAGAGGACAAGGAGGGAGGTGGCCCTGGCTCAGAGGCCCCTGCCAGGGAGCCCCTGATCCCCTCCCCCTCCCCCTCCCTGGAGGAGCCGCACAAGCACCGGCCCACCACCCTCCACCTGACTACAATGGGAGCCCAGGTGAGCACCCAGACCCACAGCATTCTGGAGCTAAACCTGGATTCCAAGCATCCGGGACTCTGCTCCCCATGGCAGCCTGCCCCTCCTACCCCTGAGAGCTGGAACCTGTCTTCAGCGCTGCTTTCTTGTCCCTCCCTCCAGGACTCCCTGAACAACAATGGAGGCTTTGCCCCAGTGCCTCCAGCCTCCTGGCAGGAGACAGTGCTGCGCTCACCCCCCCAGGAGCCCCTCAGAGGTGAGCGGGTGGCTAGGGGCACAGGAGGGGAGGGAGGGAGAGTGGAGAGGGTGGGCTGGCTGACGCATCCCCCTACTCCGCAGAGCCGTCGGCCCCCCTCCCGCCCACAGACGGGAGCTCCAGCGGGGCACAGTCGCCTGTGCCCCCAGGTTGCGACTGTGAAGGGAACCAGCCTGCGGGGCCCCCGGCGCCAGATGGGGCCTCGCCCTCCTCAGATCCCGGCATCGAGGCGGACCTGGGGAGCCGCTCCAGCGGGGGCCATGGGGGCCGGCGCAGCAGCCAAGAGCTGTCGTCCCCGGGCTCCGACTCGGAGGACGCGGCGGGCGCGCGCCTGGGGCGCATGATTTCGTCCATCTCCGAGACGGAGCTGGAGTTGAGCAGTGATGGCGGCAGCAGCAGCAGCGGCCGCTCCTCGCACCTCACCAACTCCATCGAGGAGGCCTCGTCGCCTGCCTCGGAGCCCGAACCCGAGCCAGAGCCCGAGCCCGAGCCCGAGCCCGCGCGCGAGCCCCTGCGCCGCCCCGCCTTCCTGCCCGTGGGCCCCGACGACACCAACAGCGAGTACGAGTCGGGGTCTGAGTCGGAGCCAGACCTCAGCGAGGACGCCGACTCGCCCTGGCTGCTCAGCAACCTGGTGAGCCGCATGATCTCCGAGGGCTCCTCGCCCATCCGCTGCCCTGGCCAGTGCCTGTCCCCCGTGCCACGTCCTTTGGGGGAGCCCGCGTCGCCGGCCGGCGGGGCCCCCGAGGCACCTGTGGGGTCTGGTGGCGTGGAGCTGGTGGACATGGAGACGCTGTGCGGGCCGCCGCCCCCCGCGCCCTCAGCACCCAGGCCCGGCCCGGCGCAGCCCGGGCCCTGCCTGTTCCTCAGCAACCCCACGTGCGACACCATCACGCCTCTGTGGGCGGCTCCGGGCCGCGCCGCCCGCCCCGGCCGCTCCTGCTCCGCCGCCTGCTCGGAGGAAGAGGAGGACGAGGACGAAGAGGAGGACGAGGACGAAGCCGAGGACAAGGCGGGGCCCTCCGGGAGCAGGGGCGCGGGCCCCGCGGCGCCGTTGGACGCCTCGCTGGTGTACGACGCGGTCAAGTACACGCTGGTGGTGGACGAGCACACGCAGCTGGAGCTGGTGAGCCTGCGGCGCTGCGCCGGCCTGGGCGACGACAGCGAGGAGGACAGTGGCGGCGAGACGAGCGAGGAAGAGACTGGGGCTGCAATGCTAGGCAACGGTCAGGGCCCCAGGGACGCCTCCCCAGACAGCCCTGACCTCACCTTCTCCAAGAAGTTCCTCAATGTCTTTGTCAACAGCACCTCTCGATCTTCCAGTGAGTGGGAGGTGGGGAAAGGGGGATGGTCCTAGGGGAACAGGCAGGCTCCCAGGCGGAGTGCCCAGGGCAACCTGAAGGTCTGGAGGGGGCGTTAGGGCTGGGCACTGCCCTCTTACCCAGGACATGGGCCTGGGGCTTTCCCTAGACCCCCAGTGTGGTGAGGAGGGGGCTGGGGAGGGCTGCTCTGCCTCCAGACCCTGATGGGTGGGTTCTTGCTCCCTCCCTGACTCAGGACCCCCCCATGCCAGACTGCTGAGGGGAGGGGAACTTGGTCAGGCCTCCAGGGACTTTCCTTCCTCCCCTTCTGAGTCTCTGTCTTTCGCTGTCTCTGTCTTTCCTGTCTCTGTCTTCAGGCACCGAGTCCTTTGGCCTTTTTTCCTGCCTGGTCAACGGGGAGGAGAGAGAGCAAACCCATCGGGCTGTCTTCAGGTACAGCCTTCCTCTTGCCGTGGGTGCCGCCAGCCTCAGTCTGCAGACATTACAGGACACTGGTGGACACAGCCCAGCCAGCCCTGCCCCCCCCCCCCCAGTGACCTCCCACCTCTGCCCTGATCTCAGGTTCATCCCTCGCCATCCTGATGAGCTGGAGCTGGATGTGGACGACCCTGTGCTGGTGGAGGCCGAGGAGGACGACTTCTGGTTCCGTGGCTTCAACATGCGCACGGGCGAGCGTGGGGTCTTCCCTGCCTTCTATGCCCATGCAGTGCCCGGCCCTGCCAAGGACCTGCAGGGTGAGGCCCTCTTCCAAAGGGACATCTTGTCACCCCAGACCCCCCCCTCACTTGTCTGACCTAGGCCCCTTGTGACAACCCCCCCCCCCACAGGGAGCAAGCGGAGTCCCTGCTGGGTGGAGCGATTCGATGTGCAGTTCCTGGGCTCCGTGGAGGTGCCCTGTCACCAGGGCAACGGCATCCTGTGCGCAGCCATGCAGAAGGTCAGTCTGGAGGTGGGGCACCACCGCAGCCCCGCAGGCTGGCACGGCCCCTGGAGGCCCCTGGCCTCCCACCTCCTCTGCGGAGGGTTCAGAGTATGTCTTGGGGGTCAGGGGGCAGGCCCTTGGGCCCTGATTCAGAGGCCTGGGCAGACAGGCCTAGGGCAGAGCTTGGCTTCTGTCCCCCGTCACCTGGGCTCTCTCAGCTGGTTCAGTGGGGCCTCCATCTTCCTGCGGGCCCCTCTTCCCCTTCAGCACATCCTCTTCTTGTCTGAAAATCAAGACCAACTTTCACAGACCCTTCCCTGAGACTCATTTGATCACTCCTTCATTCACTCAGTGGACGTTTCGTGAGTGCCTGCCGTCTGCTCGTCCTGTGACTGAGGAGGAGAGCAGCAGGGGAGCAGGACAGCCTTGCACCTAAGAGCTCCCATCCAGCTCATGGGGATGGAGAGTGAGGGGGCCGGGGGCGGTGGGGGCCCTGGTCCTGGCTGGAGGAACGGAAGGAAGACGAGGCAGGCTGAGAGCAGAGAGGTGACCGCTGGTCCTGAGACTGAGGACCCCGAGCTCCCACTTCCAGAATCAGTGCCAAGAGTCTTCAAACGTAATCTAAAATGTTCCTCCAAGAGGAGAGAAAGACGGCCATGTAGGCCCTTGAGGCTTTCCTCTCAGACTCTGACTTCTTCCCCAGATTGCCACTGCTCGGAAGCTGACCGTCCACCTGCGTCCGCCTGCCTCCTGTGACCTGGAGATTTCTCTTCGGGGGGTCAAGCTGAGTCTAAGCGGAGGACCGGAGGTGGGGGTCTGGGGGCCTGAGGCACAGGGGAGGCTGGGCGTGGGGTAAAGCAGGAGGGTCTGACCAGGGACGTCCGCAGGGGTGGCAGACGTGGCCCGGGCCACCCCCGTCTAACCCAGCTTCTGCACCTCTCCTCCAGTTCCAGCACTGCAGCCATTTCTTCCAGATGAAGAACATCTCGTTCTGCGGCTGCCACCCCCGTAACAGCTGGTGAGAGCCTCACCCTCCCCAGAGTCCCCACAGACCCTGAGGGCTGCCCATACACAGTCCCACCTTCTATCCCCAGACCCCCACCTGCGCCCACTAGGCTCAGGAGACACGCATCACACAGGCTCCCATCTAGTGTGGGTGGGGAGACAGACACACAGACAAGTTGGTGCTAGAAGCATCTGGGGGAGGTCTAGTGGGTGTCTCTCTGGGGCTCCAGCGAGCAGACCAGCAGGGAGGGAGGCAGGGGAGTTCTGGGATTCAGGAGGCACCTGAAGACCACTTTGTGAGCCTCAAAGGACAAGTAGGTGCGGGGGTAGATCTTCTTGGCAGGGAGCCAGGTGAGCCAAGGCTGTGGGCAAGGGGCACTCGGGGTCTCGGGGAGCAGCTGGGATGAGGTTAGAGGGACACGGGGGGTACCTGTGCCCTTCTGACTATGCCAAGGAGCTTGTGCTTAATCCCATTGGCGATGTGACACAGTCAGGTTGACAAGCTGGCTTTGGCTGCTGTGCAGGCTGGATGGACTCAGGTGCTGCTGGCAGGAGGTCAGGTGGCCACTGTCATCCAGGTGTATTTAGGAGGTGGGACAGGCAGGACCTGGGTTGATTGGATGTCGAGGTCGGCCTGGAGGGAGAATCAAGGGTGACGTGCCACCTGGGTGGTGGGCAGATAGTAACCCACGGACCAAGAGAAGGGGCCCAGCGTGAACGGGCCTGACAGCCTGGAGATGCAGCATTCATCACAGAGGCAGTGATATTGAAGTGACCATTTGCTAACCTGAGTCTGGAGTGTGGGAGGGAGACCTGGAGGGAAGGAGTCAGTTGGAGCAGGTAGATCCCTGCAGCCGTGAGGGGGGGCGAGAAGAGACACGCGTGAGAGGGGAGGGATAGTGCCGGCATTGTAACCAGTGAGTTGTGGGGGGTCTACAGGCTTCCTGCCCAGCCAGACTCCTGCCCACTGGGTCCCAGTGTCCTGGGTGAAGGAGATGGGAAGAGGAAACCGGAGAGCAGACAGGGCCAACCAGAGGCTCAAAAGGACTGGATGGAGTGTTGGAGGAAGCAGGTCCTCGAGGGCAGATGGGATGTAGGGTGCTGCTGGGGCTGAGGCTTGTGACAGATGCTGAGGCCACCACATGTATCGTTGGACACTTGTGGCAAAGAGAACAAGGAGGGCTCTATCTGCTGGCTGGGTGGTGGTGTCGACCCTTGGCAGGGTCAGAGCCCAGTCTGGCTGCTTCTCCATTGAAGAGGGAGATGGCTGATGGGATCCCCCGTCTAGACGCTGCTCTGAGGGATGGAGAGCTGGGATACAGCACCAGGGCTCAGACCAGACAGCAGGCTGCTCTGGCACCATGAGGACCTGTCTGCATGGTGGTCCACAGCCCATATGGACCTGGGCTGAGGATGGCACTGCCTAGAGGGGAAGAGGAAAACTGTGGATGCCACAAGCTCAAGCCTTCTGAGCTGGACACTGACCGGGAGCAATTCCACGAGAGAGAGATGGTCAGGCCAGTGGTTCAGGTCCAAGACGAGGAGGCGGTGGGGGGAGGGGACCAAGGAGCTGCTGTCCTGGCCCACTCCTTCCTAACATTTGTTCCCCCAGAGCTCAGCCCAGTCCCTCACAGCGTTAGGCAGACGGTTAACTTGTTTCTCGGTGAAGTAGTGGTGGGTCAGGAACGGGCCGGGGTGCTGTGTCTGCGTGAGGCAGAGCATGTGGCGTTTAAGACTGCAGACTGCCACGAGTGCTCCCAGCGCTGCCCCAGACTGGCTGTGCGTCCTTGGGCAAGTTTCTGGCCCCCTCTGTGCCTTAGCTCCCTCATCTAGAGACGAGAGATGGGGGTGCCTACCTCAGGACCTGTGAGGCTTGTGTAAGTTAATAATGTCAGTTGCTTAGGCTGGGGCCTGCACCGGGTGAGCAGCACCTGAACGACGGCATTTTTTTAAAAATTTTATTTATTTATTTATTTTTCCCCCAAAGCCCCAGTAGACAGTTGTATGTCATAATTGCACATCCTTCTAGTTGCTGTATGTGGGACGCGGCCTCAGCATGGCCGGAGAAGCGGTGCGTCGGTGCGTGCCCGGGATCTGAACCCGGGCCGCCAGCAGTGGAGCGCACACACTTAACCGCTAAGCCACAGGCCGGCCCTTGAACGACGGCATTTGAGACAAGGCTGTGACGTGTTCACAGACACATGAGCACGTGGTCCTGGCAATGATGCTATCATGTCAATTTCCATCTGGTGGAACCACAAAATCCTAATCTGACCCAATGTGGATCAGATTGGCCACAGTTGGGGGGTCTCGAGTCTCATGCTGCAGGACTCCGACAGGCCCTCCCTCTGGACAATAATTTTTATTAATGTCTTGGATGAGAAGAAGAAGGGTGGATTCAGGAAAGGCATAAATGAAGCAGAATTGGGGCAGGGACTAAATGAGTGACAGAGCCAGGGTGCGAGGTCCTTCTCCCAGAACAGGGTTGTACAGATCCGGGGCTGATGTTAAGCCCCACATCGGAGCTCAGGAAATAGCTGTGAGTTTGCAGGACCAGAAGTGGGGCTGGGCAGGCTCAGGGCACCAGGTGATGCATGCAAGGCATGAGTCAGCTGAGACATGGTGCCCAGAAGGCAGGGGAGGGCCTTGCTCTGTGGTGCAGGGGCAGACTCTGGAGGAGGGACATGGAGGCAGGTGGCGCTGGCTCGGGAGAAGGAAGGTGCGGCTGGACACCCCTGTTGTGGAGGAGTTCACACAGACCACTGACTCCTCAGAGGTACCCAGCACTGTGCTTGAACTGGGACCCAAAAAGGCATCTTCCAATCTTGAAATCGTGTGACGCACACATTTCTCCATCCCACTCCTACCCAGAGCCCTGCCTCTTCTCTCCAGATGCTGGGGGGGGGGGTGGGCTGCGGTGTGGGTCCGCACTCTGACACCCTCCACACCGACTCCCACTGCAGCTATTTCGGCTTCATCACCAAACACCCTCTGCTGAGCCGCTTTGCCTGCCACGTCTTTGTCTCCCAGGAATCCATGAGGCCCGTGGCCCAGAGTGTGGGGTGAGCGGCCAGCAGGGTGGATGGAGAATTAGGGTGGACAGTATGGGGATGGCTGGGACGATGGAGGGGAGACCTGGGGACAGGGAGGTGGTGGAGAGTTTGGGCAGGAGTGAAAGGGGAGGTCAGGTGGGAAGCAGTTGAGGTGGAAAGTGGGGAAGATGGGGGGTGGAAAACTACATTTGTGCTTTGGGGGAAGATACTGGAGATGGAAGTGGCACAGGCACATTGCCCAGGTCGGGTGGGGGTAGGAATGGAGCCTTGAGGCCAGAGAGCAAGGAAAAGGGCGGGTCACTGGCCAGGAGAGCTGAGGAGTGAAGTCTGGGGGCACGCGGGCAGGCCCAGGTGGGTAGGGAGGGAGGGCTGCGGGCATGGGGGGCTCAGGTTGAGGCCGCACCCTGAGTGGCTGGTGGATGGCGCTCTCTCCCCCAGCCGCGCGTTCCTGGAGTACTACCAGGAACACCTGGAGTACGCCTGCCCCACAGAGGACATCTACCTGGAGTAGCTGCTTGTCGCCCTCCTGCTCCAGGTGCACCTGGAGTTCACCTGCCCCACAGAGGACATCTACCTGGAGTAGCCGCCGCTCTCCTGCTCCAGGTGCAGCTGGGCTGGGGGTGTCTCAAGAGACCACCGTGGCTTTGGCAAGGACTGGATTGGGGGCACGTGGACCTGCTGTCCAGGGAGTCTCTGGGGCTGTGCTGGGGACTCTCCTCCTCGTTCCCAGGGGCTGTGGGAGCGTGGAGCCCGCCCCTCCCCCTTTCCCTCAGATCCCTTCTTTCTCTTCCCCTTGACCTCCCTCCTCTCTCCTCATGTCTGTCTCTGTCCCTCTCTGTGCCTGCAAACTCTCATCCTCTGCTCTTTACTTTGGGGTCAGAACTGGGAGCGGGGTGTGGAGGATGGCGAGGCTCCAGGTGACCAGTGACATCAGGCTCCCAGCTGATCCCCCCCTGCCCCTCCCCTGTGATTTATAAAGGAATTTTAATTTTTATAGTGAACCTCAAGGGATCATCCCATCCTTGACCACAAGGACAAAGAGAGGGACCCCCCATACCACCCTGCACGGAGCTCAGGGGAAAGCAGGGAGGGGCTCCCCAGAAGGGCCTTGGGGGAGACTTAGGAGTAGTTCTTGATGCTCACCCCAGGCCCCTAGATGCTGCTAGGAGGAGGGCGCCCCGCCCCAGGTCCCGGCCACACCAGCATCTGCTTTGCCGCTGCAAACACTCCCCGCAGTCCAGCACCTCAATAAACTCTCTGCTTGGTGTGACCCTGGCTGTTTCTGGTGGCAGGGCAGATATGGGCCCGGGCAGTGGGGACCAAGACCCCAGAGTGATGGAATCGAGAGAAGTTTCACCCCTTCAGTGCTCTCCGAGATCACATCAGGGGTCCCTGTGGTGCTGCACTGGGGCCCCTGGGGATTCTCCCCATATACACTTGGTTGGCCAGCAAGGAAGCTGAGGCCAGAGAGAAAGGGCCCTGTTCCTTCCACCCACACTGGAGCGCCGAGCTGGGGAGTGGGTGTGCAAGGGGAGCCGGCATGGCTCAGATCAGTGTGTGCGCACACTTGTGTGTGTGAGTGAGCATGTGTGTGAGAGAAAGAGACAGCAGGGGTCAATCTGCTTAGATCTTAAAATTGGTATTTAAAAAATTCTCCACAGAAGCCAGAAGAGGTGACTGTTTTTCACTGCGCCCTTAGGTGATCGTAGATGCTATCTCCCAGAGAAAGGGCTTCCTGGGCTCCCCTGCCAGGTGCGCCCTGCTGTCAGGTGCTGAGGTCAGCATGGCAGTCGGTGCCTTGCTAAGGGTGGCCTGGGTCCCTCCCCCTGAGCCCCGGACTAGTGCAACACCAGGAAGACAACAAGCGAAGGTTATGAAGTGATAGTAAAAGGAAGTATAGACACGTTCATTACATAAACATTTAAAACTACGGTCTATAAAAAAAAACTCCTACTCAAACTAAGGGCAGCCAGCAAACAGAGAAATATAATTGTGTCTTAAGAGTTAATAGATGACCAAGCCCTTTAGCATGTGGGCAGCCCCACTAACAGACCAGGGCCCCAGACCCCTCGCCTGGTGGAAACAGCTTGTTAACCAGCACACAGCACATTCCAGCTCCACCCGTCAAGAAGACAAAGTAGAACATCTATGAGAAAACTTTCCTACTAATTAAAGTCGTGAAGAGGAAGAGAGCCCCTGGATGTGGATGTTTGAAACCTGCACCCCCTCTGCACCTGGGCATGGGGTGTGTGGCCCTCAGACCCCTATGGCTGCACCACTGTGGGGACCCACCACCCACCCACCTTTTCCCTCTGCTCTTCTTTCACTCTCAGGCAGGTGAGAATTCACGCCCTGCCCTCCCACTGCGCTTGTCCATCTCAGGGAAGGCACCCCCCTACCCCTGTTGGGCCAGGCCCCTCCGTCCGACTCGTCTCCCCGTTTTTCTGTGTTCTCAATCTTTCCCTCCCGGCTGACCCTTTAGGACAGCAGTTGGACGTGCTTGGGCGTCCTTTACCTGGAACAGCTCCCTTTTGGTAGGGCCCTTCCTGCAACTGCCCATCTTCCTTCCACCTCTCTGGCCTCCTTTGCTGCACCTGCCCAGCCGCACCTGCCTGCTTTCCTTCCCCTCTCTGGCTGCTGCTCCTCAGATCTCATGGTCTCCTCTAGCTCAGCTGTGCTCCACACCCTGTCCCTGGCTCGGTCTGGGGTTCTCCTTCACTGGCTTCCTCCCTTCTTCGGATTCGATGCCTTCCCTGTGCCAGGCCCAGCGTTCTGCTTCAGCACTGCTTGGCTCAGCTCTGCGCCTTGTGCATTAACCCACCAACCCCAGCTGACCACCAGGGGCACTCCCCCAGCCAGTCACTGGGCTGGTGCTTTGCAGAATTCTGTAAATATAGTGACCCTAACGAGGGCACTGAGGTGCCGAGGGCCTACGCTGCCTAGTGGGTGCCACAGACACTTCAAACTTGTGTGAGCCTTTTCCCCACTTGCCCCTGTTCCTCTATGTTCTGTGGTTTACATTTTCCCCAGTCACCTGAGCTGGAGTCCAGGCGTCACCCTAGACTCCACGTTGCTGTCACCTACACCCCCAGCCCTAAGTCTGTCCTTCCATCCCCCCCACCTCTACCTGCATCAAACCACCTTGAGTTTCCTCCTGGATCTTTGTGCATCAGACAGCTTCCTCCAGGCTCCCTGCCTCCACCTGCATCTGGGAATCCACCTGCACCTGCAACCAGACTGGGGTTTTTAAACAGAAACGTGAGCAGGCCACTCTCCCTCAAACTCTGCAGTGGCTCCATGTTGAACCTCAGCCTGCCCCATCCCTGCCCCTCTCCAGCCCCTCTTCCCTCCACCCCATTTCTGCCCTTGGAGCCTCTGAGCTTCCTATGGGCATCTGCTGTCCTTCTCTGTATGTCTCTGGGTGACCTCCTGTCCTTCTGGGCGCCAGGGGCCCCTGGGCCGTGGAGTTGGGTGAGGTGTTGCTACTGCCTGCTCCCCTGGCAGAGGCTGCCGACTGTGAGTCTGAGAGAGCAGGGGCGTGGCTGATGCCAGTGTCCTCCCAGAGCCGGGGCAGTGCCTGGCACTCCTGCTGGCGGCTTGTGGAACCCTGTGTGATGAGCGAGCCAGCCTCCAATACCAGGACTCTGACTTCTGGAAATCCAGCCATGGATAGCATCCTAAATAAAAAGCTTTGTACACATTCTTGTTTAAAATATTGAAAGCATAAAAATAATCTAAATATTTACCACCAACTATGATTAACTAAATTAAGATATATTTACCTAATTGAAATATTGGGCAGAGGTGAAAAAGTGTGCTTACTACATTTAGTAATAATGCAGAAAATACTTGTTATGCTGTTAAGGGAAATAAATATACAGAATCTACACTAGAAACTACGTGTTGAAAAACTGAAAGGAAACACAGAAGGCTTGCAGCCACGGTTGCTGGAAGGGGGACGGAGGGTGTGTCTCTTCCTTTTTTTGTGCAATGAACATGTCTTAATTGTTTCAAGTATTATATATTGCTTATTAGATACCCCCAAATACAAATAGAAACATCCACAGAAAAACTAAAAATAAAAAAGTAAAGATATATTAATTAAACTCAAACAAAAAAAGTTGTGTTGGGGGGCCGTAGCAGTTAAGTTTGCGCGCTCTGCTTCGGCAGCCCAGGGTTCACAGGTTCGGATCCTGGGTCCGACCCACTCACCACTCATCAAGCCATGCTGTGGCGGCGTCCCATATAAAGTGGAGGAAGATGGGCACAGATGTTAGCCCAGGGCCAATCTTCCTCAGGAAAAAGAGGAGCATTGGCAACAATGTTAGCTCAGGGCTAATATTCCTCACACACAGACGAAAAAAAAGTTGTTTTGGCCACAATAAAAGTACCCATCTCACAGGACTGTTATGAGGCTTAGATAAGTTTACCTGTCAGACAGGCTGAGAGCAGTGCTCTATCGAATCAGTGCTCATTATTATTTTTATAAACACCCTACAAAGTAGAATTTTCTGTTTTATTTTTTTAAGTATTATTTGTCCATTGTAAATGGTCATTATAGAAATTTTGGAAACTGCAGAAAACAGAAGGAAGGTAAAAAATCTTTATATCTTTTCAACTCAAAGACATCTATTGCTAATGTTTTGGTGTATTTTTTTTCTAGTCTCCTTTCTATATATGGGTTTTATTGATTTTGTTTGAAGCCAGAGGGAGATTGGGGGAATCAAGGAAGAATTTAAGGCAAAAAGATTAAAGCAAAGTAGCCAAGGATGAAATGACACAGGTGCAATGAAGAATGAGGGTCTTAGCACCCAAGTCCCTAGTTATGAAACTACAGACCAACAAATACTTGATTCAAAATGTTTGTGTGGTCAGGGCCAGCCCTGTGGCCTGGTGGTTAAGTTTGGCACGCTCCACTTCAGTGGCCTGGGTTCGGTTCCCAGGCTCGGACTTACACCACATGTCAGTGGCCATGCTGTGGCAGCGACCCATACAAAATACAGGAAGATTGGCACAGATGTTAGCTCAGGGCAAATCTTCCCCAGCAAAACAAAACAAAACAAAACAAAAAATGTTTGTGTGGCAAGAAAAAGGAGAAAAACATCTCAGCAATGGATTTGAATTTCTCTTGATCAGTTTAGATAAAGAAATATAGATCTAAAAATATAATTCATAAGGTAAAACAAATACACGCACACTGGATTTTATATTGTACACATAGAGAACAACATGCCTTTTGGATGTCAATGGAGATATTTCAACCATGGATCATGTAACAGGTGTGACACAAAGCACTTAGCTCCAGGAGGAAACCCAGGAGGACAGTTGGGTCAGTCAGGGCAACTCTTGTGCAGCAGCAGGTTTGGAGGCTGGCATGGCTGCTAGAAGGCAACAGCGAGCACAGCAGGCTCCTCCCTTGGTCCTGAGGCCTTTGTCCTCATGGCTGCCCATGGCTGCGGTATCTCCAAGCATTGTGTTCAGTTCCAGGCAGGAGGAAGTGCAAGGGCAAAGGGGCAGGTGGCTGGCTTTGCACAAGCCCCACTGAGTGCTGCAGTGAGGAGTGGGCAGGAGGCAGCAGAGGGAGGAAAAGCCCATCCTCAAGGCTGGGTCCCCCTCCCAGAGGTATGAGGGTTCCTCCCTGAACCATCCACATGAGGATGGGAAGCAGGAACATTTACTGCTGGCTCCTGGCCCCCAGGTGTTGAGGGCCGCCCCAGCATGTTCAACCCCCGTCCTTCAGAGCTGCTCCCTGTGGGCTGAGAGCAGAGTGA